TTTGCAGTTTTGCACTGAATAATGTAAATGTCAGAAAAATTAAAGATGACTTTACTCGCAAGTCTTATCTAAAGATTATTTTAACAATTTGGTTCACGCTAGGAAATCCTAGGCGAGTGGAAGCGTTCCAGGAAGAGACTGTCCATTGGTCTCGGGAGGCGGAACCAATGAAAGAATCAAAGGACGGAGAGTGGGGGCGGAAAGCGACATGAAACGGTGGAACGGGCGGAGATGGTGTGAAACAGTCATTAGGGTCGTGGGTGACCGGGGCGGGTAGGCCAGGCACGAGCTGAGAGTAGCGAGCGGGGCTACTCGAGCGGCGGGACAAGGCGGGGCGAAACGGACGGGGAGGAAGGGGGGAGTCGGGGCAGCGCTCGGGGCGCGGGCGGGACGGGCCTTGACGGGGCGGACGAGAGGGACGGGACGGGTGGGAGAAAACGGGACGGGATGAGAAGGGACTGTCAGCCGGATGACCGACGGTGGACGCGATGAACCAGGCAGGTCAGGGCTGAGTGGAGGGAGCGGGAGGGGATGAGTAGGGGCGGGGTGGACGGGCGGGTGAGGCGGACGGGGCAGAGGGAACGGGTGGGGATGGGACGGGGCGGAACGGGACGAGATGCGGTGAAGTGGGGCGGGGCTGATCGGGGCGGGGCGAGGCGATGTCAAGCGAGGGTGGAACGGGATGAGTTTGTGGGCAGATAAAATGTGTTGAAGTGAACCCAGGCGTGACAGGTAGTAGAAGACGGGCGACGATGCGTGACGTGCCAGAGCCACACATGAGGGGAGGGGCCAGCCGGGAAGGGCAGGGGAGTATGGCGTGCGGCATCAACAGGTCTAGCGTGCTGCGGCTAGCGAACGTTCCAAACTGGATTCAAGCCATAAAGCGGTCCTTGCAACTCGGGCAACTCACAAGGCTACCGTCATTTGAATGAAATGAAGCCAAAAGTTCCTTTACTTATCAAAGAATCAGGATACGCTGACACGGACAATGTGAGCAACTATGTTGTATCGTACCATTTTGAACCATACAATTTTGAATTTTTGCAATTTTCGGAAAATCAGGCTTTTTAATGAAAATGAGACCTGCACAATTCTCTATAACGTCCTTTACACTATCCAACAACTAATTTTTATCAAAAACAATGGAGCCATTTTTTAAAAATATTTTTAGCATTGTTCACAGACATACATTTTGTTTTAAATCACTTTCTAGGTATGAAAGTCTCATAAAATGTGTATTTCCACTACACAACGAATGAAGAAACACTTTACTACGTATTGACGAACTTTTCCGGTATCAGAGATTCACAAAACGAGTTTTTCAGTCAAAAATTTGCCGTGTTTTGCAGCACTATTACAATACTTTCTATGTACCTGTGATATTTTTAAAAGAGATTATTTTATTCGAGAAAAAAATTAAACGAAGTTTTAAAAAATCGATTCTGTTTCAAATTCGAGGAGCCACATCAGTCATATCGATCGGAAAATATGTATTTTAGTTAAAATCCGATGTATTTTTTAAGAGCCACGGAACCAGGGACAGACGTACATGCGGATTGCCAAAAACAAACTTTTTCGGTATAAAGAACGCATGAAACATGGATTTTTCTAGTTATATGACGCATCAGAGAAAGTTATTTACTACACAGAAAATCAAGAAAGAAACACGTTTAATGCGTCAGGGTTCCACCAAAACAGTTTTTCTGCCAACCCTGTAGTATTACAATTCTTTCTCTATACTACGTAAGTAGTATACGAAAAAGAAAAATGGGCTACACGAAAGTGACATACCGCACTAAGTGCACTTGACAGCGCATACTGATTTTGCTCTTCGGGGAGCACGGGCTGATCGCGTGTAACGATGGAACGGCAAACATAGTTAATTAGGAAGATGATATCGATTTCTGTGAAATGTAGCTAATGATCAGCAAAGAAGGAAATACTGGCAACAAATGTGTGACTGTACGTATTGTCTTGATATACGACTGTACAGCCAGCATTAAAACAACTTAAAACTATCTAATAAATTATTATGCTAATTATTTTTAATTTCCTTTAGGAAAAAGAAAGAAGGAAAGAGGAATATGAAGAGAGAAACAGAGAGGAAGGTGAGAAACAAAAGGAGAACTGAGGGTCAAAGGATAAAAGATGCAGAAAAAATGAATTTCTGTAATTGGCAATATAGTTTCGTATTAGATACACGAAGCATGATATTCATTCAACAAAGAAGGAATTCTCATTGGGTACATACACAGTCTAGTCGCATTAACGTCACCACTCGTCAATAACCTGAAGTCCCCTTGGTTTGCCCGCCTTTTGCAGCCCTCGTGACCCTTTTGCAGCGCTGACCGCTTCAAAGCGTGAATGAAGAGAGACAATAAGGTTCTAGATGGTTCCAACAGTCATGTGGGTCCATGTCGTTTTTAGTGTTGCGGGCAATTGCTCTAGGTTCCTGGTTGCGCATCCATGGCGCGAACAATCCGATCAAGATGATCCCACAGATTCCCAATTGGATCTAAATGGGTTCTCAACTGGATCTAAAAAAGTAGCAAAAACTTTTACATCTACGTGAGGAAACGCAAGGACAGAAAATATGGTATTATTTCTATCAAAGATGCACAAAACAATACGGTAGTGTCAGACTCCTGCAAAGCTGAGTTACTTAACAAGTAATTGGCATCTGTATTTCGCAAAAAAAGAAATTTTACTGCAGACCTCTTCGGAGGTCCGTCTGCAGAAATTAACGCCAAGAATATTCGAAACGGACTAAACAAACTAGGGAAACGCAAATCAGTAGGGCCTGATGGCATTTCTGGAGATTTCTTAAAGTTAGGGGTGAAGCGATGATTCCGTATCTCTGGCAAATTTATCAAATATCTCTAAAAAATGCATCTATTCCCGACGACTGGAAAAACGCAATTGTGGTTCGTATATTTAAAGGAGGAAGTCGCTCAAAAGTAGAAAACTACCGGCCAATTAGCTTAACATCGGTTGTCTGCAAACAAATTGAGAATCACATTGCAGAATACTTAAAACGCGAATGGCTCAAGACAAGTTGGCTTTTCGAATGGAAACATGGGTTTAGAACAGGCTACTCGTGCGAAAGCCAAACAGTCTCCGTATGTCAAGATATTGCTGATTCCCTTGATGCGGGTGGGAGAATTGACGCAGTCGTCATAGACTTCTCAAAAGCTTTCGATCTTGTCCCGCACGACCGATTAATAGAAACAGGGCGGGAATCGAAACTAGAGTAGTATCTTGGATCCGAGAATGGCTCAGTGGGAGAACTCAAAGAGTAAGAGTATGTGATAAACTTTCGCAAAGTGTCGAAGTTACGTCGAGGGTCCCTCGGGGAAGCGTTCTAGGTCCGTTGCTGTTCATTGCTTATGTAAACGACATCGGTCGCGACATTAAGTGCGAAATTCGACTCTTTGCAGACGATTGTATACTCTACAGAGAAATTAAAGATACCGAGGACATTCAAGAGTTACAAGCAGACGTAACCAAAATAGAAAGCTGGACTACAGAAAAAGAAATGGTAATTAATACAAATAAATGCGAAGCCATCTGTTTCTCTAACAAGAAAAAAAACAGAAAATATCTCGCTCTAATAAGAAAAAAAAACAGAAAATATCTCGTATACTCTGAAAGGCGATTCTATACCCAGGGTAAGCAATATTAAATGTTCAGGAATTAATATTAACGAACACTTGAGATGGACCGAGCAAGTGAAATATGTGGTCAGGAATGCTTGGAAAGCTCTGTATATCGGGATGAGACTTCTTAGGCGAGGGAGTGCTGAAACGCGGAAACTTACGTACACGTCTTTAGATCGACCTATTCTTGGATACGGTTCACTTTGTTGGGATCCCTACCGTGTAGGACAAGTTCATACTTTAAATAAAATTCATAAAGTTGCGGAAAACTTTGTATTACGATGGAAAATAAATTCAAATAGTCACATGTGGAAATCCTTGCAGAAACGTCGGGAACCAGCTAGACTGTGCTCTCTTCAGAGCTTTCAAAGGCGAATCAACTTGGAAGGATTTTCAGAAGTGACTCTTAAAATCATCATACAAAAGTCGTCAGGACAACAATTGCAAAATTATGGGGAGAAGGCAAAAAACAGACATTAGAAAATTTTCTTTCGTAAACCGGACAATAAAAACTGGAACGAATTACCTGCAGTACTGCTAGAGACTTTACCTCAGAGAGTGGGAAAATTCAAAAATAAATTAAAAAACAAGTTAAAAATACTAATAATTGTACATATGTTATACTATAGCATTCAAATTTTGTATTCATTTAATATTAGTCATAATTTGTAAAAAAAATGGGTTTTTAATGTACTTAATTTCACGTAAAACTTGCATAAAATTTAAATGTATTACTTGATGTACTTATGGAGAGCTGCCACCGGTAACTTCCCCAGAGCAGTTAATATATTATATATTATATTATATTTAAAAAATTGGGGCAGTTTGGTGGCCAAAGGAGTACTTTTCAGCCATCCCGTCGGTTTTCGAACCACGCATTTGTACATTGCGAGCTGAATGACACGTTGCATTGTTCTGCTAGTAGATGCAGAGGAAAGGTGCACATTTAGTTGCAAGCGACATTCGTTTTCCGATGACGTGCTCAGTGATTCGGTGGAGGCTAACAAGAGGGTTCTCTTGTGCGCAGGCAAGTACAAATGCAACGTGCATGAAATTTACATGTATTACTTGATGTACTAATGGAGAGCTGCCACCGGGATCTTCCCCAAAGCAGTTAATATATTATATATTATATAAAAAAATTGCTGGCTAAGGGAGTACTGTTCGGCCATCACGCCGGTTTTCGAACCACGCATTTGTGCATCGCGAGCTGAATGACACGTTACATTGTTCTGCTAGTAGATGCAGAGGAGAGCTGCACATTTAGTTACAAGTGACATTAGTTTTCCGATGACGTGCTCAGCGATTCGGTGGAGGGTGACCCGAGCGCTCTCTTGTGCGCAGGCAAGACGTGCGGAGGGCGCGGCAGAACGACAACTTCGTGACGCTGCAGAGGTTCTACATGCGCACCTTCGACACCTTCGCGGAGATGTGCGCGCTCTTCAAGGTGAGTCACGATTCGTTATTGGCATTGCGGAGAGATATCGTTCGCATTTACAATGAAATAATTATATGAGTGTTCATTGACAACAATATTGTTTATTACAATAGCAGCTTTCGATGGCTTAGCCATCATCATCAGTTTTCTAGTACAAGATATATAAAAACATATTCAAACATGAGTGAAAACCACATTAGGATAAATAGATTAACGATAATATAAAATTTAGAAAATAGAATTAACAAGTTAACAACTGAATAAAACACAAAAAGAACAGAAACTGAAAATGTTAATTCTATTTTACAAATTTTAAATTATTTTTAATCTATTTATCCTAATGTGGTTTTTACTCATGTTTTAATATGTGTTCTTATATCTCTTGTACTAGAAAACTTATGATGATGGCTAAGCCATCGAAAGCAGCTATTGTAATAAACAATATTGTTGGCAATGACGACTTACATAATTATTTCAAGTCATCTTTTAACATTATACTAGATTCACTAGCTTATAGCTTAACTTAACATTTTATATAATCCCATTGACCAACAATACAATATTCTATAAACTAATGGATAATAAATAATAATAATAATAATAATAAGTTATAATAAGTAATACTTCATAATAGTTCCACTCTCCATTTCATTTCATTTCATTTCATTTCACATCACTTCGCTTCATGTCATGCCATTACAGTGCACTACATTGAATGTGATGTTTTTCTTCCACATTCCTTTCACTCCACTTCATATAAATACACTCACTGCACACAAATAGTAATAAAGATAGTAATAATAATTATCTAATAAACTTCGCAAATAAGCTCTTAAGACAATTTTAAACTTATTTTATCTAATAAACTACGTGGATATTCCGAATGCTTGTGCCGCAATAGCACTCAAAAGTTGGTTTGAAAAAATGCTTTTTAATAAAAAAAAATTGCATTGCAGAAGCATAGAAACACTTCAGAAGCATGTAAATTGTTTATTATTTACAAAAGAAATGAATATATTTGTTACGAAAGAAACGTTAACACAGAAATAAAAAAGCACCCAATTTACACAATTCTTGCTTTTATATTTTTCACTGCTTTTCTATTTCTCACCTTTTTTAAACTAAATATGTTTCGACGTTTCCTCCCGGAACAGTCTGTATAAACAGAACTTTCAAAAGTTATCAACAAATATTGTGTAACTGCAAAGCAGTTACTTCTTGTACCGTAGGTTCAAAGTTTGGCACTTTATGGACTTATCCATACCTTGTTTCTGTTACCAAAAATTTCGGAAGAACATCAAAATCATTTTCATCATTTACTTTTTTTTCTTTTAAATAATTTCTTTTAAAATAATTTTCACAATTTACATAATTTACAAAATAATTTTTATAATAAACTTAGCAATATTCATACAAAACTTTTGAGATCCATTATCGTACGTACGAATGGCATAATGCGTTCGACATAGTGTTTCTATTGCAGGACCGGGAGAGGTGGCCCGGTACATCAACTATGTCACTGCAGCTCCTCTGACGGGGAGGTCCTATGTTCGAGTAGCGACAGTGTCGGGATTTTCGACACTAGCTTGTCATCTAGGTCGAATTCAGTCGCTGTCTGGAGGAGAATTCTAGTGGCCGGTTGCTCTGTTCGTTACTTTTCCGTAGTTTCTCCAATCAACGCCAGGCTAATTTTGGAGCAGTACCCGAACTAGTGGGCCACGGACCACGCGTGATCTTTCCTTTCTCTTCCTTGTCCTATCCTCACCCCTTACGTACACACACACACACACACACACACACACACACACACACACACACACACTAACATACACTTCACTACCACACAGGACGGACGAGCGGTAGCGAGCTTAGGGCTTGTCCGGCAGGCAGTGCCCTGCTGGTGGTAGATACTCGGTTGTGAAAAATGCCGCTAGCCGACGGCAATCTGGCGTCGGATCTCGCCATCCAGCTGGGAAGAACACCAGAGGAAAAAAACATTCACTACACTTATGGTACTATTGACCTCAGCTGTTGACGCGCCCGGACTCACTAACAACCCACAAACCAATCATTGCAGAGAATTTAGGCAAATAAAACAACGACCTTGATGATTGTGAATGAAGGGGAAGCATGAGAGACTTGATCTTAAGGGAGGTTTGCACCTCCCTTAAATTTTTCAAATATTTGCATTAAGTTGATAGCTGATGCAAAATGTATGTCTATGACATGGAGCACTAACATTAAACGTGGTTATTGAGCATTGGTTATTCCAGCAATGAATGCAGGAATCGTCTTTGTCTGCGACTTAAGTGATTGTTTCGTTATTTTACTGCCGTCCACTAAAAGTCAGTTGAATACTACATTTTTGCTCATAGAAGAAGTTTTTTTTACTTTTTACATTATACATGGTCTCTATATTGTTAATTACTTCTACGATGGTAAGGCATCGGATGAGAGATCTAAACCAAACACTGTGAGAATTGATACTGAATCCGGGAACTAAAAGGAAAGTAGTAAGTCGTCATAGCTGAAGATTTCTTCTGTTACTGAAGCGAGAAGTTGGAGCATATTTAAGGTTGATATCTTTCCCATTTATTGTCGATTAAACATGGGGCCCCACACGGTTAGATTTTAGACCTTATCCTCTTTTTTATACCTTATTGATATGTACACGTCCATTGGAAACAGAAGTAAAGTTATTTCTGCCGATAACACAAATATTCTTTGAAAAAAAGAAGGAAAAAGAGTACGGTTTCAGATGTTTTAAATTGATTATGAAAAAGTACATTAATAGTAAACGAAGGAAAAACAGTCTCAATGCAGTTGAAATCAAACAATTATTTTTTATTTCAAGAAGTCAATTTCCAGCCACATATACATAAACATTTAACTGGCAGATGTAAATTAAACAAAATTTTGGGATTCTTGAATACTACCATTGCCTTTTCTACTCCTTTCCGATAAGGTAATTTTAGTCAAAATTGACTTATTAAGGGTGAGGACATATATCCATTTGATATGGGTACTTTTAATTGCAAAACACGTCGTATGAACCGTATGCTCACTTCAAGAAATCCTTGTATAATACAAATGAACATTATTTTGAAGCTCATCGCCAGATGACGTTCAACAATTGAAGGCAATTTGAGACAATAACAAAATAACCCACACCAGATAGAGAAATCATTATTACATTAAGGGACATTATTTCCTTTTCCATTCTTTCATCATGGAGTTCCACAATAATTCTGTCTAAATTACGGTTGAAATCGTGTGACTCTTATACTTAATTCCGTTAACAATATTTTTACTGCCAAATATAAACTTAATGAATTTTATAAAATAGATTTTAAACCGAATGTGTTAATATCTCTAGTCTTTGCCTAATAATATTCCTTGCAATCATATCATTTTACTTACAGTGTAGTGTTCGTGTTCTTTTTTAACCTATCTTATTCTAAACAAGTAAAACGTTTTTTTAGAGCTAATCAATTTAGTTTATTCCTCGATATGTGGTTCCCTCCACGATTACCATCTTAACTGAATGTTTTCTTTCTTTTGCAACTTTCTGAGGCTTGATGAGGGATGATATTTAGGGGCGTATCCAGGATAGGGCATGCATGGAGTTTCCCCAGCCTAGAAAGTGGTTAATAAATAGAAAAAATATATTAATATACAAAATATATCAAGGATATATTCTGACGAGAATACATTTACATTTTGAACTAATAGTACTATGTATTAGTTATTTATTAATTATATGTTAATTAATTATTTTGTTATAAGTATAAGCATTTCAACCCTCGGATGAATATTTCTCATGTCATCAATATTGGATTTTTCTTCTTGAAATATATCTCACAAACTCTTACAGATATCTCGGATGTAAGTCCCATTAAAAAAGAACCTGAAGTTCCTACGAACGCTGAAGATTCTCATTCTTACATTTATTATTATATTTATCCATTATATTACGTTACATTTATCCATTACTTGATGTTCTCAGAACTAACGAATATTCTGATTAGATTGGGTCGAATGATTTAATTTTGTTGGTTATTTAAACATACGCCGCAAACGTGTCATTGATCACTGAGAATGTTCTGCCCTTAAAAAATTCACCGCCTCCATTCAGGTTTGAACCTGCAACTTGGCTTACGAATCCTATGTCTTTGGTGCCGGCGTAGGTAAAATAAGAAACGCACGAAATTATATTTTTAAATCCATGCAATAATATTTACTAGTTATTATGACCACCCCGACCATGTTTTGTCAGAAGCCTCCACAGTACAATGTATTCTACTCGGTTGGTCTCGTCTTCGTACTCGCGCTCATCATCGTTATCATCACTACTCGTTACCTTTCAGTAATCAATACTGCAATTTCAAACAGTTTCGAATAGTTTTCGGATGATAACATCTGCAAAAGCGCTGACTAGTAGAACAACATCACTAAAAGTGACTGACAATCAACATTCACGAGCAATCGAAAACCAGACATTTGGAAAACAAAATGAGGAACAAGGATGTCGCTAAGAATTTATCGACGAGGAACCCACGACAGAAATAGTTGATAGATTGGTTAGTTTTTCCGGGTGCGACAACAGCTAAGGTCATTAATCCCGTAAGTGTAGTGTATGCTTTATCGCGTTTGGCGGTGATCTTCCCCTGCTAGATGATGAGATCCGGTGCGGACCTGTACGTGGGTTTGCGGTGTTTTCCCCAAACACTTATTTCCCACCACCGAGGCATCACTCAGCCCGGAACTAGCTCTAAGCTTTCGACATGTGTGGGAGTGTAGTGCGTGTATGTGTAAGAGGTGAGGACAGGACACGGAGGAGGAAGAAAAGATCGCGCGCGCTCCGTGGCCCGTTTGTTAGGATACTGCTCCAGCATTCGCCTGATGTTGATCAGAGACACCACGGAAAACTTCCGATCAGAGCTGACGGACGCTAGAATTTCCCTAGCTACCTTCGAATCTAGCAACCAAACTAGTGTCGAATATCCTGC